AGCCTCAAAAGTGACATGCCATCACTTAAAAAAAGGGGGTGGGGATGAGAGAAAAGAAAATTGGTGTGAGTAAAAAGAGAGATAAAGGATGTAGAAAAGAGGAAGAAAACAAAGGAGGAATAAATCAATTTCAAATTACAGCAATAAATCCAAACATATTATAACATTAAAAAAAAAATACAAAGCTGGGCATGATGTTGCACACCTGTTATCCCAGTGACTTGGAGGCTGTGACAGGAGGATCGCAAGGTCAAGGTCAGCCTAGGCAACTTGGCGAGCCCCTGTCTCAAAAAATAAGAAGAGCAGAGTGTGTCGTTCAATGGTAGAGCACCCCTGGGTTCTATCCCAGCATCGCCCCCCCCCCCCCCCCATATAGTACTTTTAATAACACAACTGGAAACAATATACCTTTCTTCACTTTGAATTGAATTACATCTTAGTGGGATGGGTTTGAGGGGAAGCATCAGCTTACTGTTCAATCCCCAATACCAAAAAATTAAAAAAAAAAAAAAAATAAACACAGGGAAGGGAGAGGTAAGGGCAGTTGAATAAGAAAAACCTAGGAGAGAAAAAAGAGAGGGAGAGAGTATAAAAGTGAAAATAAAAATAGAGAAAAGGATTCCAGTTAACACATTACAACACTAAAGAAAAAAATACATAAAATTTGATTACAGTATTTAGTGTCAAATAATGGGGGGATCTACCTATTACCAGAAGATAATTCCAGTAAAATGAAAAAAGTAAACATTGAAGAGTCTAAAATTAATCCTTTCTGAGGTATTTGAGATAAAGGAATTTCTTATTGGGCCTTCCATCTTTGGATTACACCAGGTGTCAGGGGCATGGTAGATGCCCAAGTCTTGACCGCATGACCTGTGAGTGTCTCTGGGCTTGGAGCTAGCGACCATACTGCTGTCTGCGGGCTGGGTTAGAGTGCTGAGTGTTTACTTCTTCACCTGTGTAACTCAACCTTCTGCTTCAAAAGCTGCCTAGTGCCTCTCCACCTGCCCATCTCATGTGAATCTCTGTGACTCTGATGTTCTGTGGTACTTCTGGATGCCTTCAAGTTCTTAGGAAGGAACCTCCCTGAGCATCTGCAGCCCTGCTGCCTCATCTTTCCCTGCCAGGAGTGAGGCTTTGTGTGGCCCAGGGGCCAGCAGTATGTGCCTTGCCCTACCTGCCAGCACCATAGATATGGCTCACAGATGTGGCTCCAAAAGTTCCAACTTGACTCTTGGTGCATGAAACTGGACAGATGAAGTTGTGCCAGACTGCAGCTGGTGTGTCCCGTGTGGTTCTAGAGTACCAATTTCAAAGGGCCTGCTGTCAGGCAGTCTCAGTTTAGAGCTCCTACTGGGTTCAAGCCACAGTCTCACCCCTAACCCACGATAACTTTTGGTTTGGGCACCTGCTGACGAAGTGAAGTTAAATGAAAAGGTGGTCAATGGGTCTCGGAGATACCAAAAAAAAAAAAAAAAAAGAGAGAGAGAGAGAGAGAGAGAGAGAAATAGAAGAGAAAGAGAAAAGGAACGGGGATTTCTTATCTGTGCAGATAGCTTTTAGGATGGTTCCCCTTCCCAGTGCTTGCAGAGATCCCACAGGGCAGTGCTTGAAGGTGCAGGGTGCTGTTCAACCACACAGTCTCTGTGGGTTGCATCTGATCCCCTTTGTTCCAGCTGCATACCTGTCCTGCGCTTCTGCAATTCTTTATGATCCCTTATTTCAGCTCTCCAGAAGGGGGCTTCCCCTTCCCTACCATGCAGCCACACCTTGGGTGCTGGTGTGGTCCATTTCTGCTTTTCTTCTTCTGACTTCTAATAAATCACTAGTCGTTGTTTCACCTGAATGCTGACTCTCTGAGTTGGGTTCCAGCATTTCCCCCTGCCCTCTTGTCTCATTGTTAAGTTGTGCTATGGATCCAATTCAGTATACATCATATAGTACTTGTCTGTTGGTTTTGGGTTTTGTTTGTTTTTTGTCTAAGCAGTATGATTTTTTTTTTTGGGGGGGGGGGCACTACTGGGGATTGAATTCAGGGACACTCAACCTCTGAGCCACATCTCCAGCCCTATTTTGCATTTTATTTAGACTCACTGAGACTTATTTAGGGTCTCACTGAGTTGCTTAGCGCCTTGCCATTGCTGAGGATGACTTGAATTCGCAATCCTCCTGCCTCAGCCTCCCAAGCCGCTAGAATTACAGGTATGTGCCACCATGCCTGGCAGTAATTTGATTTAAAAAAAAAAAAAAGAATTGATTTTTATATTTGCATATGTTTCAGTGGTTCACAAAATAAAAAGTTCTCCATCAAGTATTTCCATTATGGCTTTTCTCTTAATACCAATTTATAACAAATTCATAATTATACAATATTTATATCTGATCTTTACTAATCTTTTATTTTCTTGTGTAATTGCATTTGTTTTGTATAATATAATAAAAGATATTCATAGCTCATTTGGATTTCACTTGAATTAGAACTGATAATTTAGATCATTTACATTTTAAAACTTTAGAAATTTATATAACTTTTGAAGTTTGTATTTATTTATATCAGAATTATTTACTTTTAAATGATTGCCATTTTCTTTTTTGTTTTAATTCTTATATCTATCACTTTACAATGCATATTTGTGAATTTTTCCAGACCTCTCAGATGGATATTAACAATAATATTTAATCCCACATAATAAATCCTGGCCTATTGATGAAATATTCATGGCTCAGTAAACTGAGAGATGTTTAACTATCCTGGTGCATTCGAGATAGTCATCATTTCCAGCAAGATTGGAAGGAGTTCTGTCTGCTCCTTGGTGTGTCTCTCACCAAGCCTAGAACTATAGAGCTGCAAGGAAGCAGAGGAGCAGTGGGGAGATTGCCTCTGCACTGCAGCCCTGTGCTACCTTGGTGCTCTTGAAGGGAGTAGCTGAGTCTTGTAGAAGAGGAGACTAACATAGAGCACAATTGGAGAGTAGGTTCCACATTGCTAATTGTATTACTGATTTTGACACATTTTGGTGGAAGCTGTTTGGGTAGTTTTCCAGTTTCTTAAGCATTCCTATAGTCAGTATAGAGTTCTATACTTGTAGATTTTTATATAACTTAAACTGCAGATGTTAAAAGTATTTGAATTGAAGATCATGAGCTTGGCATTACTCTATATTTTAAGAAGATGAAGTTTAGTGATGCAACCAATACATTTAACATGTTTACTTGCACAGAATCTAATCTGTGTGTCTTGGCACCCTTCATAGACATGAATAAGATAGACAAGGGCTTCCAGTTGGTCAAAGTAAATAATAGATTAGAAAACAGACAACTTAATTTTAGATTCTTCATAGAACTGTGACAAAACAAAATCAGCAGTGGTGGTAGGCATGAGACCTGTTTCATACTGAGCGGTCAGGAAAGACTTCTATTAACAGGTGACATATTAGGAGCAGAAGAGGAAAAGGAACCAGTCTTGTAAAACTCTGAGGGTAGAAGTCCAGAGAAAGGGATCACAAGTCCAAGTGCCCTGGGGGAGTCTCCCTGGCTAAGGTTAGGGAAGGACATAGAGATACATGGAGGACAGAGAGGGGCCAGTGGAGCCAGGTCATGGTAGGAGGTTGGATTTTATCTATGTGTGATACTATCCAGTACAGGATCGGGTGACTGGGGTGGTTACCTGATCTGATTTAGTACTGTAAAAGATTATTTGGCTCTGGAGATACTGGAGAGTCAAGAGTAGAAACAGAAAAGCCAATTGGGGTGCTACTTGTAGTCATCCAGAGGAGAAATAAATGGTGGCTTTGACTAGAATATCTGAGATGCAGGTGATAAGAGGTGGCCAGAATCCATATATTTTGAAGACAGAATCCACATGATTTACTGATGAATTGGGCATAGGGAAGAGAGAAAAAGAATAGTTATGAATGACTCATAGATTTGGGGCATAGTGATACACTGAACTGAGATGAGCAGAACCAAGTAAAGGAGTACCTTTCAAGGGGTTGGGTGGTCTCATATTTGCTTATATCCATATATTTTCTTGGTTGAATCTTGAAAGCGTATTAGTTCTAGGAATAGTAAGATTTATTGTGTTTATTTGGCTTGGATTTAGAAATATTTTGAATTTGGGGAGGTAACAGTCTTTCAAAGATTTAAATTTGAACTAAAAATACACAGAATATTCCATTAAATATTATATTTCTTCTAAATTTCAAGCATCCACTGATTCTAAAAGTGAACAAAAGAACGAAAGCCTTCAAGAAACAAATGTAGAAACATGCATTAGAAATGTATTTAGGTTTTACTTAAAACTCTCAGATACAACAAAACAAGTCATTTAGCTGGGCAAGTAGGGTGAAAATTCTGTGCCAAGATCTTTCTGGATTTAAATTATAACCATGCCACGCCAAGGCATTGCAGCGAACACCATGGTAACTTCTTTGTTGAGGCAGCCCTTGCCTATGCCAACAAACAGAGGAAACATGGTGTGAGAGCATAGTGTTTCCCTCTCTTGTTTAGGGAAAACATGTATCAGATTTGCATGTAGATACGGGAACGAGTTATATGTCTCATACAGCTGAACATGTTTGCAGGTAAATGGGCATAATAGTAGTTATTCTTTCTGAAACTTATTAGCTTTTGAATGTTCTCAAATTTGCTCTATTTAACTATCTTTAACCTGCTAAGCTCATATTCTTTGAGAATTCCAGCAAAATGAATAATGTGACACTGTAGATCAGTTTAATTTTATGCTTCTTGAATTTTGCATCAACTGTTTTGCCTAATGAAGAGTGAAACCGGAACTTAAGTATATTTGCTTAAAATAATTTTAGAGGATTATAGGGTATCTCTTTAATAAAAAATTATCTTAAGAGTGTTTTGAAAATTATTTTTCTTTCAAGATTTGGATTTTTTTATTATAAATATCAGATTTTTAAAAATACTTATTAACAGATTATATCATTGTTTTTGTTTTAACTGTATCTTCATCTTTCTTTTTCTTTTGGCAGAGAAATTGCTTTTACTAGGCAACTTCAGGAGAAAACATCTCAACTCTGCTACTACTATATGGGTTTTTACATACATTCATGTCCCAAGATGAAATATAAGGTAAAGTTGATTTGTGTATGTGTGTCTGTTTTCATTATATAAAAATGAATCTTTAATAAAATTTTTATCTCAAGGCACAGGATTTGGAGCTTTGAAGGAGGGATGAATGGGTTAATAAGTAAATCTCTTTGCTGCTTCAAAAAGTAAACTTTCTATAATGAGAACCACAGTTTTTACTGCTCTTACTTTATAATCCATTATGAGTTTTAAGCATATTTCAGAATTTCCTTTAAAAAAGGGTTTTATGATTCTTGTTAGTGAAACTCTTTGATGTTTGCTACGTACTAGTGGAGGATTGAGCAGTGCAGGGAGCAGATTCTTCCTCCACCTGCTGTGACCACCACCACTACCACCAGCACAGTTGGTGTTATTAACTCTGCAGGTGCAGGAAGATGCACGCATGAATCTTCCACCTAGAACTTGTGGTCTAGGTGGAGCTGGGGGCATTTAACATAAAACCAGGTCTTGCGTTGGTGGGTGAGTGGCCTGGGAGGATGTGGGGTTTTGCTCCACAAGGTGTGGAAGAGGAGAAAAGGAAGGGCTCAAGACAAGGGAAGGTTTGGGCTGACAGTATAGCTCAGTTGGTAGAGTGCTTGCCTCGCATGCATAAAGCCCTGGGTTCAATCCCCAGCACCATCACCACCGAAAAAAAAGAGGGAAGGTATGATGGAGAAACATGAAGGAGCCAGTAACAGTGCCTGTGATGTACTCATAGGAGGGAGAGTAATGAGGAGTAGGAAGGACCCTGAAATGTGGTCCAAGGAACACAGGCAACTGGGAGATGGGTCACACGTCAGAGAGCTGTATAAATAGAATATGTAAATTGTCCACATGCAGAAATATGATTTTTTAAATCATAAATATTTTTAAAAACATGCTGAAATAAATAAAAAGTATCCTGGAGCCCCTGTGTGCCCATTATCTGGCTTCAGCAATTATTCACACATTTTTTTCATCGTTCCTTTATCCCATCCTCATCTCTACCTTCTTATGAATTCATCTGGACCAAATCAAAAAGATCCTTTCATTTGTAAATATTTTAGTGTGTATTTATTTCTAAATTGTAAGGATGCTTTGAAAACAACTGCAATCTCACCATCACACCTAAAAAGTATTAACAATGTTTCCAAATGTCATCAGTGTTCATATTTCCCTTATCAATGTTCATATTTCCTTAGTTGTTTCATAATGCTTTTCACAGTAAATTTGTTTGGTTTAGGACTCAAACAAAGGACATACATTATATTTGGTTGATATATCTCTTAAATTCCCTGCCCCCCCCCCCCCCCGCATTCTTCAAAGGAATAATTCATATAACTTAGTGATTGTTCACATGATCATGGTTTTAAAGATTTGAGGTTAAGTACCAAGTGGCTGATGGTTCCATTTTCAGAAATTATGGATTCTAAAAGTAAGGCTGGCTTTGAGAGAAGGATGAACATAGAGCATTGAACTTTGCTGGGTTTTGACAGTCCACTGTAGTAGTCTGATCAAGGTGTCCCACAGGTATTTGGGAGTTCTCTCTTGAGCTCATATTTAAGCATACATTGTAGGTAGATAGCTTTTGGATTTGGTTGTCTTCAAAAATGATCTGTATACCTGATTATTGTTTTACTTGATAGGCTTAAACAAATGTTCTGTGCAGAAGGAAAAACATGACTATATTTCTGTTTGCCCCCAAACACTTACTTGCTACTAATTTTATTAGTATTTTCTCTTAGCTTACTATCCTTGTTACAGTACCAAATCTAACTTAGTTCAGGGGAGAAAACTCAAATATTCATACAATTACAAGCCTCAGGGAAAGCTCTGGCTGCTCTCCTTCAAGGAATACTTGCACATGACCCATTAAATATAAGTATTTATACCAGACTCAGGGACTTCATCTCTTAGCCTTCATCTTTAATGTCACAGTGTTAAATGCCTAGTTTATATGTTTAGTGTTAGAGCCTTTCTCTTGTACTTTCCTTTTGTCTAACTAAATTCTAAATTGCTCTGTATTTTAATCCATTTCTTTATACACACACACACACACACACACACACACACACACTTGTCACTAGTGGAAGTTAATCTAATTTCATCATCCCTTTTGCTTTATTTTTTTCCTGAATTTATATTTTAATTTACAAATAAAATTACATATATTTATATTTTACAGCATGATGCTTCAAAGTATGTGTACATTGTGAAATGGTTAAATCAAGCTAAAAATCATGTGCTTTACTTCACATTCTTCTTTGTGGTAAACATAATCTGCTGTCTTAGTAATTTTCAAGTATATAAAGCATTGTTTGTAGTTATAATCTTCATGTTCTGCAATAGGTATTTTGGACTTATTCCTTCTATCTAACTGAAAGTTTTTACACTTTGAACAACACTCGATTTTAACCACCCCCCAGCCCCTAGTATTATCATTTTGTTCTTTCTTTCTATAAATTTGGCTTTTTAAAAAAATTTTGTTATATATGATGGCAGAATGCAATTCAATTCACATTACACATATAGAGCACAATTTTTCATGTCTCTGGGTATATACAAAGTAGATTCACACCATTCGTGACTTTATACATGTACTTAGGATAATGATGTCCATCTTATTTTTCTTCATGAAGATGTTGAACTCAAGATTTTTTGGCTGTGGTCCAGATTAAATGTTTTATGTTCTCTAGTCTTCCTAAGAAGAACTCTGCTGGAAATTGAAGTCAGTTCATATCTCTGTTTAAATTAAGGATTTTAAAAATGCCTTCTGTGCTGTTCAGTCTGGCAGGAGCAGTCGCCATCATTGGGTCAGTGGGTCTTGCTGTGGATGTTTCTCGTGTGGGTTGTGTCTGTGGTGGTGGTGGTTGTGGCTTCTGCTGTCAACAGTGTAGATAGCCATGAAAATATAATCAGTGTTAGCAAGTTTAGATACAAAGTACATGAGTTATGTTCCAAGAAGTAATAAGGTTTGGAAACAAAGTAAGTACACGAATTGGCAATTTCAATTTGTGATTCTGTATAGTGCTGCTAACTTGCTAAAAGATCTGCACATTAGGTTATTGGAAATAGTGCCTACCTAATAAGGTGTACTGGCACTTTCCAGTGTTTTAATATTTGTCAGAGTTCTTTGTAAATACTACTAAACCTAGTGTTTCTTACTTGTTAGATAATCTTTAAGATATCCATAATAGTGAGTAAAAAGTATGAAGACCATGGAAAGAATTTAAGAATAACTTAGGTTTTCAGGGACTCTAATCTCTCATTTCCCAATCTTTCAAATCAGTATCTGTTTGGAATTTGGAAACACTATCAAAACCTATAAAACTAGGTTCTAGCCCACAGTGGAAAGACTATTTGGGACTCAAATAAGCCATCCAAGCAGTATTTAATTTTTCCAGTGTATTATAGTCGTATTTTATCTTCTTGGGAGAGATGATTCTTAAATTTTGTAGTATTGTTAGAGTTTTTTTTTTTTTTTTTTTTTGTAGATATTTGTGGGATGATAAGAAACTTTTAACACTAAATTTTGTAAAGCCATCATTTTCCTGGAATTATTGTTTTTGAACACTTCTGGGTCCTTAAAAACATTTTGATGTTGATTTTTAGGTGGTTTTTAAAAGTTGTTTTCATTGCATTATGATTAGACTTAAGTAATCTTAGGTAACTGAGGGATATTTTTGCTTCACTTAAAGGATTTTAAAAAATATTTTGAGCAAATGAGAATTATCAGTTCTGAAAGAAGAAAATATCTGCTTATTTTGTTTAAAAATTTTTTAATACTTATTTTTTTAGTTTTTGGCGGACACAACATCTTTCTTTGTATGTGGTGCTGAGGATCGAACCCAGGCTGCACGCATGCCAGGAGAGCGCGCTACCGCTTGAGCCACATCCCAGCCCCCATATCTGCTTATTAAAATAGGTCTTTTCAGTTAGAAAATGAGCCATCGAAAATTGTAAGACAAGTGTTGGTCTAAGCATGAGTATTTCTCATTGCAAGTTGAAGGTCTAGAATTAGAGACTACCACCAACAACAAAAGAACTCACAGGAAATTTATTGCACACGATTATGAAATCTCTCATTTTCTTTTTAAAATATTTATTTTTTAGTTGTAGTTGGACACAATATCTTTATTTTATTTTTATGTGTTGCTGAGGATCGAACCCAGGGCCTCACATGTTCTAGGTGAGCACTCTACCGCTGAGCCACAATCCCAGCCCCTAAATCTCTGATTTTCAAGATAAATTTAGCATGTATCTACAGTATAGTTAAAACTATTTTTTTTTCTTAGCATATAACTGTTTAAAGTATTAGCAATAGCATATTTCTGCCACATTTTGAAATTTACATGGAAAAATCTGCAAATGTTTTCTGTCTGATATTAAGGAAAAAAGAAATCTGTATTTTTTAATAGGGACACTTTTGATAACTAAGAAGGAACAGTCTATTAGGTGCCTGGTACGTGCCGGACAGCTGTTGAGTCTAGATTTGGTTTCCTCCCTAATGGCCTATGGAGGGCTGGAGGTATTTACAGTACAGTGCATGAAGGTAGTACCATATGACATTGAGTTGTACATGAAACTAGATTAATGTTTCGTTTGGATTTTCTTATGTAGCTTTGGACTTAGCAAGTTACAGTCTATACTGTTATCTCATGTAAAATAAATCACAGTATTTATACCCTCTCTCTGTTCTTCAGTAATTAGCTGAAGTGGTGAGTCCATGTGTTTAGAGAAGACAGTCCTTTGGTAGAGGGCTCCCAGAAGTATCTGCCATCACTTCCTCTTGCCCCCTCTCCTGTATGTGAATGCTGCTACACCCAGCTCAGCCCAAGGGCCCTCACCCTGGATAGGACTGGCCTGGTGCCTTGCACTGACTGATTAGTGGATATCATGAAAGCAACTATCTGGGATTTCTAGATTGTGGGCTTAAGAGAACCGGCATCTGTCTCTACTTCTGTCTTTGGAGCCAGCCATAAGGTGAAAGGTCTAGCTACCCTGCTGAAGAGAGGCTGCCTATG